CGCTGAGGTTGAGAAACACCGTTCTAGCAAGCAGCACAGCTCTTCACCAACCTTTAAAAACCCTTGTAATTCCAAACATGATTCTCCTTTTGGAAAACAAAATGAAACTTTATTTTCTTCCGAGCTGAATGGGAGTGATTTTTTAAAATCCACAGATATAAATCTGCACTGATATAAACTGATCACCCTAGTTTATTGAGTTCTAGAAATAGAGAAAGCCCAGCTGCTGTTTGTTTCTTACTCGGAGTCGTAAATCCAAACATTCTCCTAAAAAAAGATAAAGCAAACCCCAGATTTTAATGGCTTGATTTCTTCTTTAAACGATAACAGAAGTAAAACCTTAATTTAATAGATCAACGGGGGGAGGGGGATGGGATCTCTTGCTCTCCTACCTCCATCAAATTGCAAATGTCCATTAAGTTACAAATTACATTATTTGTAACAAGTTGCCCAAGTTTTGCGTAATGACATCATTATGCAAATGATGTAAATAATCACAAATGACACAATCTGCACTTTTTGCAAAATGACACCATTAGATAATTCCCTTTTTTCTCTCACCCATGCTCCTCTTGATGTAACAGTCTCGTCTGTAATTTGAAGGGATGTCACAACGGAAATGTGGGTCCATTAAATGGAGGCTTCACTATACCGTATCTAATTTGATTTTTAATGTCACGGCTTTGGAGCATTCAATTTAAAGATGTATTGACCCCTTTGCATATCACCCTCCAAACATCTGCTGAGCTGCAGGTACAACACAAATGTTTTCAGTAAGTGAAAAGAATTGAAAGGTGAGAAGTAAACCAATTCTAGCTATAGAAGGAGGCTGACTTCTCCAATCTGGTGCCTTCTGGATGTCTTCCAGCAACCCTCAAAATTACAAGCCACCATGCTGGAAAGGAGATCTGGGAGTTATGATCCAAAAGATCTGGAGAGCACCAGGCTGGGGAAGGCTGCTATACTATGTAAGACTCAGAAGCCACAAAGATGGAAAGGGTGCAGTCAGTTACCTGTGCAGAGCATATGATTTGCATGCAGATGTTAGCTTAAACTCTGGAACCTGCAGCTGTACGTATCTCAAGAAACAGAACATCTGCCTCATGATTTGGATAGAGGAAAGGAAATGCTAAATATTATGGGTTAATTCTGGCCAAAGGCAACTCAGTGTGTTCGAATACAAAATTATGCGATCAGTGCATTATCGTGCCTGTATTGGGCAAGGAACAACTAAAGCTTTCAAAGACAAGCTAACATCTGCACATCTTGCTTTCCATCCTGAATTCACTGAAAGCTTCACTTGCACTTTTTGTTTATTTTTAGGCTGCCATGCAGGACAACACTGTCTTCAGGCACGTTACAAATACGTAAGAAATAAAATCAATGCCTCCCCCCCAAAAAACACAATCTACAAACACTGAAATATCAAAAGCCCAAGAAGGAAAATTAACACATTACCCTGCCCAGCATAAATCCGTCAACTCTACATGTGAGTATTTTAAAAAGGAACCAGGACTGGGCACTACTTTAAAGGGCATGTCTCTAAGACCTGTCAACCTGATCAGTCTAAGTGATGAACTAAGCAAGCAGAATCTCTGATGCTAATCTTCAGGGCACACGTCTGTCCTAAACCAAAACCTTAGGATCAAATTCCTTCCTAAAAGAAGACATGGACATTGTCCTTAAGACCTTCCTTAGTGATTCATTTCTAACTGGATCCATGCTGCAAGCTGAGTAACTACTTCAACATCTGGAGGTATCCTTCCTACATTGACACAATTGTCCTGAGCAAGATAGAAAATGTCTATCCATCTTTGGCATTGATTCAGGATTGCTGGATACACATCAAATTCTTCTTCACCTACTGGAAGCTCTGGCAATTGTTAGTTTGTTTATCACAAAAAAGTCTGCCATACAAATACAACTGTTGTATGCCAACCCCCTTACTTATTTATTACCTACTGTATCTTAGAGCAGGTTGAATTCATCTCTCTGCTTTCTCACATCCCAGAAAAAACATGGGAAAAGTTCATCCCCATCTGCCTTTTGCCTCCAACCAGCTTTACACAAGCTGAGACCAGAGTTAGAGGAAAAATTTAATATATTCTTGAACCTGACCATAGCCAGATGTCTCTATGTGCATTTTTCCAAATTTTGTGATGTAATTGAGGTTACCAAAGAAAATCCAGAAAAAAAAAAAAGTATATGCGTGAGGAAGCCGGACATGCAAAAAAATGTGTACTAATACTCATGCAGATTTTCCTATAAAAAGGAAATCACAAACTGACAAGAGGCTGCAAAATAGGGATCCTAGGCAAAATTAAGCATAGCAGATTCACCTACCCCTAATTAAGATATGTACAAAAGCTCCTTTAACCTCACAGTCTCACCAAAAGTGATTAAGGAATCAGAGGTTGTTTGAGCTCTTTATTGTACGTTACAGCCTCTCATTTGAATCCCAAGAAAAGACCTACAGTATTGTATAATTAATTCAAACCATTGTGTATTTAACTTGAATTTTGCTTCAATAGGCTCCTTTCTTAACTACGGGTCGTCCATAAACCAGGCATTCTTAACCCAGGGACTACCTGTATTTAGTTGAACAGCTATATACTCTCTTACACACAAACACACACACGTAACTTCTATCTGTGAGAAGAAGCTTCAGAGATCCTGTTAGAGAATGTTCTTTGGCTTCCTGTTTGCCTGGGATAAAGAAGCTCATACTATAAGATAATGAATTCATACATGAGCTAAATTATTTCAAACTTAACCCCAGGATTAAAATCATGGTGTTGGAAAGGACTTTGCAGATCCTTTAGTCCAACCACCCTGCTCCAAGATTCACTACATATATGGTAGTCCTTCAGGTTCAAAGAAGACACACTGTTGTGCAGTTCATCTATGGACATGGAGGTGGCTCTGCAGTCCCAGTCTGGAAGCGCAGAGTCCAGCACAATGGGGACACTGGAAGTCCATTGTTGTAATAGCTGTGGGCATTGTTCTGTGACGCCACTCAGTTTTCTATCAGTTTTTGGTGGTACCTGGCTTCAAAGCTGCTGGAGGCTTCATAGCACAGGGCTCGCCAACAGGTTCTGTCAGCAGCCACAGCTTCTAGTTCCCTTGGCTGGATGTCACAGTGGTGTGGGGTTACTTTCTCAGCACCTCTGTAGCGCAAATGACTATCCAGCTTCTATCTGAAGACCTCTAGCAAAGAACTTCCCGCTTTTCTTGTTCATGTGTTTATTAAATAATAATGATCACAGTTAGAGATGTAATATCTTCAGGAACTATGATGCAACAGGAAAAAAATTATCTTTCAAGAAATTTTAGGAGAA